CGGGCATCAGGTGGCTGTGGATAGCCATCAGATTGTGTCAGCTAGTTACCTGTCGCCCTGTTTGACTGACTGTCTAACAAACTGCATTCCTGCGCAGTGACATACGGCTCAGAGCAGTCGAGCCCTTTCTGTTGAAATGAACACATCACAAAGCCTTTGATCAGAACTCAGGCCAGGGGGCACATTCCTGACAAGACTTGGAGGAAGTGAGTGGCAACGAGGCACTAAAACACCAAGTAATCATATCTTGGTCTTATATGATAAAAAAACATTACGATTTATACCCATATATGCATAGGTTAAGCTTTAACCCTAAACCTAAGCTGTTCCTGTTTGGACTAATAAAGATACTTGGCTGGCCGCTCACAATGCACAAACAAGATGGACAATATGAAAACTACCACAATCATTCAGCTCTAATTTTGGCTTCAGCCTCTTTCCTCATGGTGTGTGTGTGTGTGTGTGTGTGTGTGTGTGTGTGTGTGTGTGTGTGTGTGTGTGTGTGTGTGTGTGTGTGTGTGTGTGTGTGTGTGTGTTAGGGCTGCTCAATTAGTCGTATTTTAATCGCGATTACGATTATGGCTTGCAACGATTACGAAAACAACGTAATCGAAATAAAACGATTATTTTTTGGGGTGTTTTCAACTGTTAAAACATACTGTTCACTTCTTTTTTTGTTGCAATAAATGGATGTTTTCAAAGTCAATGAATAATCGCATTTAATAATCGCAATTACAATTATTGACCCAAATAATCGAGATTATGATTTTTGCCATAATCGAACAGCCCTAGTGTGTGTGTGTGTGTGTGTGTGTGTGTATGTGTATGTGTGTGTGTGTGTGTCGAGCGATGGGCCCTCGGGGTGACTTACACCGTCACAGCTGTTGCGGCTCCCACAGAGACGTCTCAGGGGTGAACAGCGGGCTACTGCTGCTACACACTCATTAACCCGAGGGGTGTGCACATGGAGCACGGAGGAAACAACTCGCACACACTCATTTACACACAGACTGAGGAGGGCTGCTTGTTTACTACAGCACTTAAGATAGTGTGGTATAGCTTAGCTCTAACATTCTTTAAATAATGTAGTAGTATTTATCTTCTGTGGGAAAAGATAATGTTCTTGGGATTGCTTTGTGTGTGTTCGTACTCGGTGTTGTATTTTAGAATCAAGGACAGCCGACTAATCGACTAATTGTTTTTTTTTGTTTTTTTTAAATGATTATTAATGCTCATTTGAGGTGCTTTTACATTAGCTTTTGTGTAGAAACTCAGTTTTGCAAATGACTGGTTTATCAAGTAATCAATTAGTGTTATTTGATTAAGTATTTATTTTTCAAAGGATAACCTTTCAAATAATGTATTTAATGAATGAAGGTTTATCTCTTAAATGGCTTAATAACTGTGCTACAGATCTAATGCAGATTCATTTCATCTCGCTATTGTGCTTCAAAACACTAAAGCCTTACAACCATCCCGATTCTGAAACATGTTTGGTGTTCTGTGAACTTTCTTAACAAATACTACTATTATTACTGCTGCCAATACTAGTAATGGTCATTTGCTTTACATTGGGGTTAGCGTCACTGATGTATGACAACTTTTAGAGCAATTAAACATGCCATTACACCTCAAACCCTTTCCTAATTATCAGCAGATTTATTTGACAAAAGATACTTTAAGTACTCCATTACTATACGACAGGTGCTTTTTAAAGCAAGTTAGTAAGTAAGAATACATGTTAAGAATCATTATAGGCTGGGCCTCTGACATTCACTGTGTATTACAGACAGAAATATGTGAAGAATATTGTGCGTTGTCAAGAGACAGCATGCCTGTTGGCGCACAGAATCGTGACAGGTGCTTTTATAATGGGAATAATGCTGGATTCACGTTTGCTCAGCTGTCAAGGAGCTGACAGTTCTGAAGGCAGACAGTGAGAGCTGTTCAACTACAGTAAATACATCGGTTATGTTCAATTTGTTTAGTGCAATAATGATTAGCTGGTGCAGCTTTGCAGAGCAGGAGCAGTCACTGTTTGTGTGGCAACAACAACACGTCAGAAAGGTGTACTTTAGTTTCCAAAGACTCTTATTGATCATATTTATAAAAGACCAGAAAAAAAGAAATAAAGTACACTATTTAAAACAAGTATTACAAAGTATTAAACATTGGTTTATATATCTATATCATGTTTGTGAGGGTTAAACATGAGTGAGGTACTCATCTTCTATTCTAAATGTGGCAAGAAAACAAAAAGCGTTTTTTTATTTAGAATGAGAATATTGCTTATTTCAGGACCTAGTTATTCCAGGCACGTTTTTTAACAGCTGCATCTCATGTAGACATTGTCAAACACTGGCTCATTCACAAAGCTTATCTTGTTAAATACAAAAGAAGATTGTGAAGAAAATTCTATTTATCCCAAGACTCAAATCAGGATGTATACCTTCTGGTAATCTGAATATATTCTCAGGTCGTTTTCTACAATAACGCCTTCATAGAGGAAGCGGGGGCAGGAGTGTGTCGACATATGAGTGTGTGTGTGTAAGTGTGTGTGAGCCTGAACTGCTGGTTATTTTTCAAGGTTCTTCCTGTAACAGAATGAGAGCAGTGACAGACTAATGAGGCTAAATGATGATGAGGCTTCAGGAAGAGCAGGCCTCCAGCGGGGAGAAGAGACGATGTGTCAAACAGCTGGGGGGGTGGGAGCGAGGGCTTTCCTCCGGAAGCTTCTCTTATAGAAACACTATATCTGGCACCGAAGAGCTGCTCTCATCATCTGCAAAACCCACAGATAGAGATGTGCAACAGAAAACGCCTGAAAGTCAAGTAACGATGATCATGTGATGTCATTTTCTTCCCTAAAAGGGAGCTCTCTACTTCAAAGGGAGGTCAGAGGTCGGGGTTAACAGCTTGGCCTTGTTGGAATACACTCCTTCCTCCTTTTTCTAAATATATACTGTGCTGCTGCAGGGGTCTGACGTAAACAGATGCAGGCTCTCATTCACTGGCCCCCTGATCAGACGCCCAGCCAAGCACCAGGCTTACGAGTCCATCTCCCCACCTCCAGTGACCGGATCAGGAGGGTGAAGCACGGGGTAAGCCTCAATCAAAACCTTCCTAAAGCGCATTCCTCCATGCACCTCACTAAAAACAGATTATTTAATCAGTACATGCACAGAAACTGGCCAAAAAGGGGTATTTAAGGCTGAGGACTGGATCTGGCATCATTTAAGACTAACTGAAGAAAAAATAACAACAATGCAGACCATTCGAGTCGATGAAGTGCTGCAATGATCGCTGACGGTTCGTTGCCTTGCTCGATGACTTTAGAGATAAAACGATTTGCCGATTATTTGACTCACTAATATACAATGTCATTGTCAATGAAAAATGCCACCGAGGAAGACATGAGAGCATACACTTATAGCGAGTCATATGGTAGCATGTTGCCTATGTGTGTGTGTGTGTGTGTGTGTGTGTGTGTGTGTGTGTGTGTGGGTTACAGTGCAGTCAAACAAAGAAGGACAAACCCAGCTTGTCTCTCTCTCTCCTTTTTAACTAGGCCTCTCACTCGTCCTGAATGGTGCCATTGAGAGAAGAGGCAGTTAGGGCCTGATTGTAGGACGACTTTGTGAACTCTCAAAGGAGACAAACCTGACTGATGCAGATCATTTTCCCTTCGGTTTCTGACTGAATGACTCCCTCAGACAAGCGAGAGGTCAGAGTTTGTACTTGGATAAACAAACGCCACTACATTCGAAAATGAAGATAGTATTAACAACGTGAGTTCTGATGGAGTCATGCCTTTTGACTAATTTTTCAGCTTTGAAAACTCTGACTGCAGCTGCCTCCACCCAGCCTTTGTGAAGAGCCTACATAAGCTCATCTGTTGGAGAGAGAGTGTCTGAGAGATAGCGGTCAGAGATAGAGATAATAAGGCCAGCCGGTTCCTCTGATGTTTCTGAAAGGACATACTCCTTTGGGGTTTTCTACACAAACACTATTTACTGTAACTGGATTTGTACCAAAGTCAGTTGTTAGTTCAAAGTGTGGGAAAGGCCTGGCATATTGTGGCTGTAATACTGTGTGTAGTCAGATTAATCCCAGAGAAGGGACTATCCCCCAGCCAAATCAAAACATATAAAGTGAAATATCTCCTCCACTAAATGAGTGACAGTACAGAGAGGAAGAAGTTTAACAGGTTCACTTTTAAATTTGCCTCTTATAGTTAAACCCCACGTTCACCGCTTGAGCTTTTCTAAATGAAGGAAGTAAAATATACTGGCCAAGGTAATACAGTGAAGGGCTTTACATTCATCTCACACACCTCCAGGTACAAAGTGTGCACTCAAGCCCAAGTTCACCTCGATCCAGCAGAGACATAATGGGATGTGACAGGATGTGTGTCGGCAGCCACCATCAAACGTTTCTCACAGGACACACAGCTTTAAAAAGAAGCCTGATAAGAGATCTAGCCCATTGACTCAGAATGAGACTTCCACTTTCCTGCAGGACAACAAGTCTAAGCAACAAATATCCGAGACATACCTCCACATTTTCTTCTCTAATCTTCCCCATCATGACACGGGATGATGGAGCATTGCCATTTATCCTCTGAGAAATCAGTGAGAAGGCCAAAGTTGAATATAGGAGGCCTTGAAATACTTCTATGGAGGGTGCCACTATTGCTTCAGCATATTTAGTATTTTTACATGATTGAGTAATTCATGTTTAACCTGAACAAGTAAAGCCATTTTCTTTTGAGCAGCAGGAAGATAGCGTGTAGTCATTTTTGTGATCTATAGGAGTCAACATATACAGTCTGCTATGACACTACATGAGGGAATAACTTTTGTTGCAATCAAAATATTTGTTCCACAATGACACACAATTCTGTATTGAGAAACAATACAGAATATACATGTTCCATCAAGTCAATGTCAAACATTAACAAGAAGCTGGACAAGCAGAAAGCAGAAGAGTTTATAGTTTACATGTTATCAGAACGAGATCGCGGATACAAGCGGCCGAGATGGGTTTTCTCCGCAGGGTGGCTGGTGTCTCCCTTAGGGATAAGGTGAGAAGTTCGGTCATCAGGGAGGGACTCGGAGTTGAGCCGCTCCTCCTTCGCGTCGAAAGGAGCCAGTTGAGGTGGTTCGGGCACCTAGTTAGGATGCCACCTGGGCGCCTCCCTAGGGAGGTGTTCCAGGCACGTCCAGCTGGGAAGAGACCAAGGGGTAGACCTAGGACCAGGTGGAGGGATTATATCTCTTCGCTGGCCTGGGAGCGCCTTGGGATCCCCCAGTCAGAGCTGGTTGATGTCGCCAGGGAAAAGAAAGTTTGGGGCTCTCTGCTGGAACTGCTACCCCCGCGACCCGACCACGGATAAGCGGGAGAAAATGGATGGATGGATGGATGTTATCAGAACAGCAAGACATAAAACTCCATGTGACCAACAGAACTCGTCGTATGGTGTAAATCAGGGATGGGCAACTTGGATGGTGGTGGGGGCCACATCATGTATGTACTGGCCACCAGGGGGCCGCAGATTCACTTGGAACACACACACAAATTGTATGTAATTATTAACAAATATACTAAGTCTGACATCTTCATTGACATTTTACAATCTTTCAGGGAACATCCTCTAATAAGCTCACTAAACAAATATCAGTTCACAGACATTTTAATTTGTACAAGTGGCATGTTTGTATTGAACAGGTTATTTAACAGTGGAATAAAACTATTTTAAACTATTGGAAAGCATGGAAAATGTGTGTGCATCAAGATTAACCATTAAGATGACAAACATGAAGTCATGACCACTAACCCAGACATTAGTTGTCTAACTTGAACCAAAGACACTGACGCACAATAAGGGGAATGTCAACCCGCACTCTGCTGTTCCACAGCGCCGCCCCCACTCCCTCCCTCTTATATTATGAATGAAAAGCGTATAGTCATCATAGATAACACGGCAGGGTCCGTGACAGTTTGTTTTCATCTGATTTCAAATAAACAAAGTCTTGGTTTTTAGAATATTAAACTTGTTTCGCCAAATTCAGATGATAAACAACTTTTAAGTTTGTAACGGCATAATTACAAGCGGCAACTTAACGTCACAGCAGGCATAACAACAGCCGGTGTTTCTTGTGAGCAGAATACACACAAAGGCGTCACAGATTATTTTGTGGTATTTGGCTGCCGAACAAAATCATGTACCCAGCTCGCGACATAACTAGGAGTGGACGGCATCAGTACTACAAGTAAAAAAATAAATAATATATATATATTTTTTTAATTAATTACGTTGTTTATAAATTAATCTGAGGGCCGCAAAAAGAGGAGGTGCCATTTGCCCATCCCTGGTGTAAATGTTGACCAATAAAAAACAGCTGACTTGAGGGTTATAGTCTGAGTTGGAACAGGAAGACACAGCTGCTGAAATCAAGTCTTTTAATTATCTCTCTCCTGTCCTCACCCAACCTCTCTAGTCTACGGGCTAATGGCATCTACCCCCCCGCCCCCCACCCTGTCCCGAGGTGATCCTGACCCAGGCCCTTTCAATCCACCGTAGACTGCAGACAGGCAGCGGCGCAAAACCAGCGGCAGGCTCAGAGCTGCTGGAGGAAATTAAAAACACAGCTACCACTCCCAAGTTCCTCCCTTTCCCCCCTCTCGCCTCTTGAGTGAAGACAAATACTAGCTCCTTCAACTCAAGTCGGCCTACTGAGACTTTTTTATATTTATTGCTGCGACCACAGGGACCCATTAAGAGAGAGAAACAGCTGTATGTCTATGTCAGTGTCTGGATGAGAGGAAATCCACTGATCACAGAACTGTCTGACTCCTAAGTCTTGTTTCTGTTGGGTAAAAAACTAAACTACAAATTGTGACAAATTATTAAATACAAGAACTCATAGTTACCCAAATAATGTATCCGTTAGCCTGAGTTGCCTCTGTGGTCAGGATGGTGAGACATTTCTGAGATGACCTTGCTTTTATCCGGAGAAAGACTTTCAGAGGTTTGGAAAGGCTGAACATAATCCACAGGAAAGGAACATGGAAAATACCACGAGGAGGAATGCTAGGGGAACCCCCAAAATATGATCTTTATGTTTTAACTGCCACTGACTGAAAAAGTCAGACATTTGGCATTCAGAGTGCCTGATCTTAAAAAAAAAGTATGCTATACAGAACAATAGTTGACAATCAGGAGCTTTGCACAGGGCACATTTGTAGTTACTCTAACGTAACTCATCCACCTATATTACAATTGTTTCTGTCACTTGTTTTAATGATTGTAGCTGGCAAATGTCCAATGAAACAATACAACACGTAACAAATGAGAGATGTGGGTAGATCCAGATGACTGCAAGTGTATTCCTATCATCTATAAATACAACGACACACCCAGAATATACTGCAGCTGAGGTGATGCCAATTGGAGACCACAAGAACTGTTTTTAGTTCCCGTTTCTTTTTTTACTTTTGAGTGAATACTGGTTAAAATAGTTATGTTTTTGCAGTTTATTTTCAGTTCTTTGCAGTGACATAGCTTTGAGATTGTAAGTGTTCCTCAAAGACCTTATTTTACAAAAGGGATCTCACTGCTGTAAAGGCAAATCTATTTTTGATGTGAATGGATCAGTGTGTCTCCGTGTCTGTCAGTCTTTTGGAACAGCGACATGTAAACACGTTCAAACAGTCCAAACACACAACTCCCAAACAAAGCTGCCGGTTGCTGGAACTCCTGGCCAAACAGGAAATACAACTTCATGGCAGCAGAAAACACAACGCAGCGAGATGACTTTGAGAAAACCAGGCAATCGAGTTTCACCACGCCATGAGTCACTGCACACCTCCACCATCAACGACGTTGGTCTGCATGCACTCACACTAAACTCCTGACTTAAGACAAGCTGGAACTGGGAGAGCTTTTGCTTTTATACATTATGTCAGATGATAAAATCTTAGATATAATCCAAATGGC